TCTCTCTCTCTCTCTCTCTCTCTCTCCTCTTTCCTTTTTTCTTTTTTTCCACTAGTTTATCCTACATTCTTACAATTCCTTTATTTTCATAGGTTTAGCAAAATAAAAGATAACATTTTAAATGAGTTTTAAATTATATGCTGATCTGTTTCATTCTGTGAATATTGATATACTTGTCTCTTTCACAGTGCAGTGCTAGGGATTGAACCTATGACTCTGAGTGAGTGCTTTCGCACTAAGTCACAACCATACTCAAGGCACATCACAGGGAGAATGCCACTTACTAAAGAGATTGCCACAGAACAGTGGTGAAGATTTTCATTCCAACTGAGCTATATACTTCAATGCAAGCCCAAGAATCACAAGGATACAAGGCAACAAGATGACTCCCAAATTAATAACTCCCCAGCAGCTGATCCCATAAATAGTGAAGTGAATGAAATTCAAGGCAAAGAATTTTAAAAACTGTTAAAATAATCCATAATAATCCAGGTGTGGTGGTGCACACCTGTAATTCCAGCATTTAAGAGGCTGAGGTGGGTGGATCACCATGATTTCAAAACCATCTTGGGCCGCACTAGTTCAAAGCCATCCTAAACTATATAGCAATATCCTATCTCAAAAAAGTGTGGGGAGAGGAAGAGAAAGAGGAAAAGGAAGAGGTAAAGGAGGAAGGGGAAGAATGAAAGAAAAAAACAAAAAAAGATTTTAAAAAGGAGACAAGCTACTTACTGAATCAATTTAAAGATTATTAGTGAGCTCAGTGAAGACAAAAATAATCAGCAGAATGAGTTAAAGATATTTAATCTTTTAATTAAAGATATTTAAGGATATTAAAGCCCACTTCAGCAAAGGCAAAAACAATCGAGCAGAAATCCTGAATGTGAAAATTTAAATGTCAATTTTTTTGGGGGGGTACCAGGGATTGAACTCGGGTCCTTGCGCTTACAAGGCAGGCCACAAACTGCTGAGCTAAATCCCCGGCCCCTAAATAAGTCACTTTTTTAAAAATCAGGTGAAAGTCTTGGTGTTGTAAAGGAGATGAGGAGCTATCAGGAGTTGAAGGTAAGATATACAATATTACACCACTAATGGGAAAAATAAAAAAGAAACAGTGACATGATTCTCCAAGTGCTCTTAGACAACTCTAAAAGAACAAATATAAAAATCATTGGCCATGAAGAGGGTACTGAAGTACAGGCTATTACGTACATGCACCAACTCCCCACAAGAAATGTAATCACCATAAACATATACTAAAAAAAATTAAAATGGTAGTATAGGCTATAGGAATATAGGGTATAGGCTAATGGCATAAAAAAACTATTCCCTGAAATTATAGCAGAAAATTTCCGAAATCTGCTGAATGAGACAGATACCCAGGTAAAGGAGGCATTTAGAACCTCAAATGGACGTGTCCAGAAAAGAACCTCCCCACCACACATTAGAGTAAAAAAATGCAAGATTCAGAAAAAAAGAAAGAATATTGAAAGCTGTACAGGTGCCAAATCATCTGTAATGACAAATTCCTTAGAATAATAATAGTTTCTCAATAGAAACCTTAAAGGCCAGTAGGGTTTAGAATGAAGGTTTTCAAACCCTGAAAGAAAATAATTGCCAATCTATATTTCTATACCCTTTCAAAATCAAGGAGAAATAAAGACTTTCTAGGATAAAGGTAAACTAAAGCAATTCATGACCAGCAAGCCAGCATTGCAGGAAATACTTAAGGGAATCTTAAACAGAGAAAATGAGAACACTCAGTAACCCAAGGCCAAAGGTAAAAATAAATCTCACTAGAACAGTAGTCAAATGAAAAACAGAAATGAATCAAACATTTGAAAAACAATGAAATGACAGGAATTAGTATGCACCTTTCAATAATAGCACAAAATATAAATGGTCTTAATCCTCCAACTAAAAGACACAGACTAGTAGATTGGATCAAAAAATAAGACCTATCTATATGTTGTCTGCAGGAGATTCACCTCACATGCAAAGATATACACAGACTGAAGGTAAAATAATGAAAATGATACTTCAAGAAACTGGAATCGCAAAGCAAGATATGAACCCCAAAGCAAATATGAGTATCTATATTTATATCATACAAAATTTACTTCAAACCAAAATTGGTCACAAGAGGCAAAGAAGGTCACTACATATTGGTAAAAGGAACAATTCGCCAAAATGAGGTAACACTTCTAAACATACGTGTGCTAAATTTCAGTGTACCCAATTTCATTAAAAAAAAAAACTACTTGACATACAAGAACAAATAAACACCAATACAATTATAGTTGGAGAACTTCAATACTCTACACTCACAAGTAAGTTAACCAGATTCCACCCCAAAAAATCAACAAAAAAATACTAGAGTTAAACTACATTACAGATCAAATGGATTTAACAGTTATCTAGAAAATATTTCATCCAACAGCAGAACACATCTTCTTTTAGCATGCCACTGAAGTTCCTCCAAAACAAAATGTATTTTGTCACTAAGTAGTCTTAATAAATATGAGAAATTGAAATAATTTCATGTAAGATCATGATGGAATAAAAAGAAATCAGCAGCAAAAGAAAGCACAGAAACTACATAAAGACATGGATATTGAATAATACATTCTCAAAAAAGAAGTCAGGAGAAATTTTAAAATCTCTAAGATCAAATGATAATTGATTTTGTGGTTGTTGTTTTTTGTTTTGTTTTGTTTTGTTTTTTGTGGTGGTGGTGGCAGTGGTGATTGTGCTAAGGATTGAACCCAGGATGCTACAGATACTAGGCAAGTGCTCTACTACTAAGCTATAACCCCAGACTTCAAATGATAATTAAAACACAACATATCAGAATCTTTTGGACATGATGAAAGGACTTTTAAATTCATAATTATGGTTACCTACATTAGAAAAACAGAGCAATCCCAAATAAGTAACCTAATGCTGTACCTCCAAGTCCTACAAAAACAAACATAAACCAAAACTCATACCAACAGAAGGAAAAAATAATAATAAAGATCAAAGGATAAATTAATGAAATTGAGACTTTAAAAACAATACAAAGTAGCCAGGTGTGATGGCCCATTCCCGTAATGCCAGAACTCAGGCTGCTGATTGTTATAAATTCAAGGCCAGCCTGAACTACATAGTGAAACCTTGTCTCAAAAACAACAACAAAAAATATTACAAAGGATAAGTGACTCAAAAGGTTGGTTCTTTGAAAAGATAAACAGAATGAGTAAACTCTTAGCCAAATTTACAAAAGAGAGAAAGAGAGAGAGGGATAAAAAAGTCAACACAAGAAATTAGAGATGAAAAAGGCAAAATTACAATGGACACCACTGAACTCCAGAAGATTATTAGGAATTAATTTGAAAATTTATATTCCAATAAATCAGAGAATCTTCTATGGACAAATCCCTAGACACATATAACTTGCCAAAATTGAACCAAGAGAGTACTAAAAAACCTAAAGAGACTAATAACAAACAATGAGATTGATGTAGTAATATAAACACTATCAAGAAAAGCCCAGAATGCAGTGGATTTGCTGCTGAATTTTACCAAACCTTTAGAGAAGGACATCAGTGCATCTCAAACTTTTCCATGTAATAGAAAGGGAAGGAATATTTCCAAATTCATTCTGAGTAAGGTGTTATTACCCTGACACCAAAACCAGGTAACAACAGCAACCACAAAAAGAAGAAAAGAAAGACCTACAGACAAAATTCCTTGATGAACATACATGTAAAAAATCCTCAATAAGATCCTTGCAAAAAGAATTCAACAACACATTAAAGGATAATTTGCAGTGATCAAGTTGATTTTATACCGAGAATGCAAGGATTATTCCACATATACAAATAATTAAATGTAATACACCGCAAAATAGAATTCAGGATAAGAAGCACATGATCCTCTTACTAAATGCAAAAAAAGACTTCAACAAATCCAATAACCCTTCATTATAAAATGTGATGAAACCACCACTTGAGAGGCTGAGGCAGGACGATCACTGCAAGTTTGAGGCCAGCCTGGACTACACAGTGAGTTCAATTCCAGCTTAAACTACACAGCAAGACCATCTCAAAAAACAAAAACAGGATCAGGGATTTAGTTCAGTGGCATCATGCCCGTTTCACAAGCACAGGGTCCTGAGTTCAATCCCTGGTTTAAAAAAATATACTGGCCATACTGTGAGAAATGGGCTTTATCCATAGGGAAGTCAACAGCAGGTGCGACCAGTCTGAGCCATTTGCCTGTGGCATTGAGCACTGTTCTGTGCATTACATGAATGACAATGGTGATGGCGTCTATGCCAGGAGGCCTCTATCAGTTATACAGATGGTTGCCTCTCTCAAGCAAAGAGCCAGTGCTCTGCCAGCTAGCTGTGCAAAAAACTGCACAAACTCACCTGCCATTGGGAGGTTTTCTGGTCAAGCCAGAGGCATACCCTCAACCCCTGAGCCCTTCTCTGACCCAGGAGCTTGTGAAGAACCCCTAGAGAGGGGAAATCCTGAGGTTGGAGAACCACAAAGTGAATCAGTCCATGTGCTTGACATGGTAGCCAGGCTGAAGTCTGAGTGCCTGAAGAGGCAGAGCCAGCCTGAGCCTGGGAGCCTGTCACAAAACAGCAGCTTCCGTCAAAATGTGGGCAGAATGTTGCTTGCAAATGGCAGTGAGGCTGATGAAGGCAGAACAAAAAAAGGTGCATTGGAGGTACCTGACACTCAGGTGAATCCTGTGCAATCTGTGTATGTGCACTGTGGGCCTGAAAGAGTTGACCATTGTTCTCCTACAGGGGACTGGGCCTGGTACGGTGTCCCTCAGGATTGTCCCTGTGTAGCAATGGAGCTAGGTCAGCAAACTACCACAAAAATGAGAAACAGGTATGATGTGGAAATGACAGATGAGCTTGATGGATCACCTTTTTCTTCTCACACTTGTCCTCGAGCCACTAAATTGCCCTCAGATGCTATTGTTTGTGTAAGTAGAGAGCTTGTACCACTCACTAATAAAAAGCCCAATCAGAGAACAATCAAATCTTTGTGCATTATTGTCACTGTGTCCAAGGCAGAAAAAATACTGGTCTTCTGGTTTAAGCTCTCATGAAGAACCACTCCCAGGGATGTTCTTTTTGCCACCTGGTCAGCATCAGTTGGACTGTTCCCAGTTGAATGAGTACAGCCCCAGGATATTAGAGAGTAGCCAGCTTGAAAGCACTGCTGAGAACTATGCTGAGAAGAGAAGTCTTTCAACCAAGCCTCGTACACTACCAGCCTCTGCAATGGAAAGCACATTGCCAGTGAATGAAGCATCTACTTGAAAGAAGCAAGTGTATCATGATTTTGTGGAGACCAGGTTTAAAATCCAACAGCTTCTACAGCCTCAGCACTACATGGCATGTCTCCCCCACCACATTTTGGTGAAAATTTTCAGGTTACTTCCCACCAGGAGTTTGTCTCTTAAATGTACCTGCTGCTATTTTAAGTTTGTCACTGAATATTACAACATCAAGCCAGCAGATTCACCCTGGGTTTGAGACTCATGCTATAGAAAAGATCCCTGCAAGCAATGCAAGAAAAAATATATGAAAGGGGATGTGTCCCTGTGTCAGTGGCACCCAAGCCCTATCACCAAGCACTGCCCTCTGGGCTTGGATACTGGATTGCTGCACTGGTCTCAGAAGGGTTTTCCTGGCTGTAAACTGGGGCTTCAAGACAATCACTGGATCCCAATCTGTCACAGTTTTAACCAGGCAGTATGTAAAAAAGCAAGAGGGAGTGGGACTGAAGAGGAAGACTAAAGGCCAAGTGATAGGCAACAAGAGAGCTGAGTTTGAAAACCACAGAATACCTACATAAACAGTGAGTGTTGTCTCTCAGACATGGTAGGAGCACCTGCACCTGTTTCATCCTGACTGCCATCCATCGGGTTTTTTTGTTTTTTGTTTTTGGGGGTTTGTTTGTTTGTTTGTTTGTTTTTGCTACCAGGGATCAAACTCAGGCCCTTGTGCTTGTGAGGCAGGTGCTGGAACTGCTGAGCTAAATCCCTGGCCTGATCAGGTATTTTTTAAATTCTTAATTTACCAGCTGCACAAGACTGGCATTGTGATTTTAAAGGGACCCCTCACATTTGATTCAAGCGGTCACTATGCCTGTTTTTCTCCATCTATCCTCAAAGGATGAGGACTTACTGCCACCAAAACAAAAAAGCACTGTATCATAAACATGTAGAAGAATGGAACTGTATAGGGAACTGGAAATAAATTAGCATTCTAAAAGTTAACTGATCTTTTTCCCAGAGTGCCAAGAGCATACTTTAGAGAAAGGGCAATCTCTTCAAAACATATTGCTAGGGAAACTGATACCTGTACCCAGAAGAATGGAATGAGTTTCCCCTCACCATATAAAAAAATCAAACAGAAATGGATGAAAGACCTAAGTGTGACACCTGAAACAGTGAAATTATTAAGAGAAAACTTAGGGTAAACATTTCAAAATATTTCTATAGACAAGTAAAACCCAAAACAGGATTCTATCAAGCTGAGAATATTCTGACCAACAAAGAAAACCATCAGTAAGTGAATAGACAACTTACAGAATGAGAGAAAATATTTACAAATGATTTGATGAATATCAACAGTTTATTAGGAACTGAAACAACAGCAAGAAAAATTTAATGAAAAAATAGGAAAAAGGTTTAATAGATATTTCTTAAAAGAAGAAATTGTGATTTAATTCTTGTTATAAGCTGTTATTTTTCAGCCTTTAAAATGAAAAAGACTGCCAGGTGTTGTGATGCATGCCTGTTTGTAATCCTAGCACTCTGGGAGGCTGAGGCAGGAGGACCGTATGTTTGAGCCCAGCCTGGGCAACTTAAAGACTTAACAAGACCCTGTCTCAAAACAAACAAACAAAAAAGTAAATTAAAAGGCCCAGCGATGTAGATCAGTGTGAGGGTCCTGAGTGTAATCCCCAAGACAAAAAAGAAAAAGATGCTTCAATTTGTGACAAGAAGGACGAACCCGGAGAATATTATGCTAAGTGGAATAAATCAGATGTACAAAAATAATATATGATCTTTTTATATGCTGAATCTAAAACAAAGTCCCATAATTTGAAACAGTTGTAGTGTGGTGATTATCAGGAGTGGGGAGAAGGGGGAAATGGGGAGAATGAATGAGGTGAAATCGTACAAATTTAAGTTAGTGTGAATAAAGCTAGATATTTAATCTATAGCATGAGGACTACAGATAGTATTGCATTGTATACTGAAAATTTTCTGAAAGAGCATATTTTAGGTGCTCTTACCAGAAAAAAAGGAAAATATAACTGTATAAGTGATGGATATGAAAATTTGTTTGTAATAATCATTGTACTATGTGTGTGTGTGTATCTGAAAACATCATCTCTGCTTTTTGTTTTGTTTGTTTGTTTGTTTGTTTTTGAGACAGGGTCTCACT